AATATATATACTTTGTGGGGTCTGCCACGCCTCCTTCTGGCTGTTACATACATTTTAACAAAACCATTATACCCTGATTTCAATGGGTTCAGGGTATAAAAACCATTTTGAATGGTAAGTTTCAATGCAAAAATGTATTGTTGCTACGAATGCCTATGATTCCTGCAGGTGTGCCGATTGAATTCAAACGCAATCAAGATTGGCATACGTGATGACAATTAATTAGATTTGAAAACATCATGTTTTTCCCACGGACAATTACATGTGGCATGTTCTTGCGTTGGGATCACACATCCAGTTTGTTTGTGTTGGCTAAAGATGGCCTAACAGGCCATGTGCATTTCTTTGCGCTGAGAGATTAATCTATATTTTCTTTTAAATGTCATTATCATTAGTAATAATTAGGGGCGTGGCAAAACGGCTACTAAATTGCTGATGGGGTGTGAATGAATATTCCGCAGTCGGAAACGCTCGACTGCAACGTTCTTACTTGTTATAATAAAAGTCAAGCCATAACTCTTATTTTAAATTTTTACTATACAAATTGAAAATAAGAGTTATGATTTGATTTTTATATAAAAATTGATCTCCTAAATTTTTTTTTTTATCATAAAAATTAATTTTAATAATAAGATATAACCTTTTTTATGTTACTCAAAAAAAAAAATCTTAATTTTTATTTTTTCGCTATAAAAGTTATAATCGTTACAGAGCACCATGCACAATAACGAGTTCCCGACGACAAAACTTCTTACAACACAGGAAATTTTTTTTTTTTTTTAATAGTTTGCATTTATTAATCATTTAAAATTTGCTTAGTATAATTTCTTAGTATTCTAAATTTTTTAATTTAAAAAAAATTGACATGCACACATGTTTTACTTAATTTCCCCACGTACGTTCTATGCTATTAATGCTAATAATAATAATCAGGCAAAATATGCTCCACATGACAGCGCCTAGAAAATAGATAGACATGAGTCAATCAGACAAATCGTTTAGGTTTGATTAGTTGATCTGCATATCGTACACATTACCTATTAAAAATCTATGATAACTTTCGCACCTGTTTTTATTCACCTCCGACCCATTGTTAATGCACAGCCCGCTTCATATTAAGTTAAAGTCTATGCCATACGTAATTAACATATCTCATTCAAAAACGTTTCGTTTTGTATGCAAAAGCAGTTAAGTTGTACACACATATTCATACACACACAAAGACACACACACCTATACATTGTTACTGTAGAGGCGTGCTAAGGACAGTAACTAGCTTACAATTAGGGGACTGCACAACTAAATTATTTGTATACTAGCTCTAGATGGAACTGTAGTTAGGAACACATCAGTGTATTATTGTGTATGACTGTTTATGTGTGTGTAACAGTGTGTTTACATAGAGCTATATATACATATATATAACTAGAAAGTACAGCGGGTTTCACAAATACACTAATTGGTAAGTTGAATTGGCCAGGTTTGATTAGAGTTACGAATTTCAGAGATTATAATTTAAGATTCAAGTTCCTCATCTAATTTAAGACACAGCACAACATTTAATAGCTATTTAAGTACACTTTCAGTTTCTCAATGGTTCTGTTTCGATTTACAATCTAAAATCACTCGCACGCACGCACACACACACACACACACACACAAACGAGGATGGAGTGAGTGAGAGAGAAAGAGAGCTGTCTATTGGGGCTTGCATGAATTTTATGCTAAATGCAGCCCAGTTGATGGGAGTTGGGGACTTTTCATAATAATTTGTGTCTTTTTATTTTTGAGAACTTTACTAAACTGAATGCTATATATTCCTTGTATTTGGTATATTTGAGACTAAGCTGGAATATAATAAAAATAAAAAAATAAGAAAAATACTTTTAGCAGGAAAATATGACAGAGAACCAAGAAGCAAAACAAACTTATGGATTAAATCACAATACTATACATATACAATACTATACATATACATATATACATATATATATATATATATATATATATATATATATATATATA